TTTTTTTTTAATCCATGATCGAAATTTTTTTGTAATCCATGATAGAATTTTTGAAAATTTGTGATTTTTTTTTTTAATCCATGATTGAATTTTTTTTTATAATCCATGATAGAATTTTTTGAAAATTTGTGATTTCTTTTTTAATCCATGATCGATTTTTTTGAAAATTTGTTTTTTTTTTTTTAATCTATATTATTCAAAGAGAAAATGAGAGAGATGATGATTATGAGGCCACCCTATCCCAGCCATATTATTTACATATCGAATCCCAACAGCAACAGTGTAGGGATGAGCACGACAGTGCAGGTGAGCATGAAGGATGGACGAGCTTCGGGGATTTGGGATTGGGAACACAACAAAACACTAACACTCAGGGATTTGGGAATAGTCAAACGCTTGCTAATATCGATGATTTGTTTTTAGATCGAATCATTGAATTGTTAAACGAATTCAATCAATGGCACCAGCGTCACCAAAAAGAACAATAACGTCGTCTATCATTTTATTTTTAGATCATATGTTACTAAGTTTATGCTTTATTGTAGTCCATGTATGTTGATATACTTATTCTATGATAATTCTATGTTTATCCTTTTGTGTGATGTAAATTAAATGCTGAATGACGATTCATGCAGGGAAAGAACATATCAATATTCGCATATTCATTCAAAAACATGAAAATTCTTAATGGAGTACCTTCGTTTCTTATTGAATTCCTAAAAAACAATATTTATAATGAATTTTAATAATTTTTTTTAAGCTTTATTATTACCGATTCACCGGATTCCCGATCCGGATTGCAAATTCACTGATTCGGATCGGTTTTTTGGGTGTCCAATCCGGGTCACCGATCCGTTTTTTAAACCATTGCTCCAAACACATTGCTTTGTCCTAGGAAGCAGGCACACAACTTGCTCCCGCGAGCGCACGCTCCTAATAATGCAACGACATATAGAACTGAAAATGCTAATAAACTTATAGCATGTCAACTCCGGCGAAATTGTTGGATATATTTTAGACTTTTAAACTGAATTATTGGACTTCAATAAACGTGTGGATGTGTATATTCATTATGCCTTGAACCAACAAAGTATATAACTCAAGGAAAAGTGTTTGGTGAGTCGGCCAATTCACACTACTTTTGTGCAGTCTCCTTATAAAACAATGTTTAAAAAGCGGATCGGTGACTAGGATCGGGCACTTTAAAAACCAATCCGGATCGGTGAATCGGCGATCCGGATCGGAAATAGACTGAATCGGTCGGATTAAAGCTTCAAAAAAATTCGAAAAAATTATTAAAATTC